AGGCTGGAGTGCAGTGGCATATTCTCAGCTCACTGCAACCTCTGCCTCTCAGGTTTAAGTGATATTCCTGCCTCAGCTTCCCAAGTAGCTGGGATTGCAGGTGTCTGACACCACACCTGTCTAATTTTTTTATATTTTTATTAGAGACAGGGTTTCACCATGTTGGTCAGGCTGGTCTCAAACTCCTGACCTCAGGTGATCCACCCACCTTGGCCTCCCAAAGTGTGGGATTACAGGCATGAGCCACCGTGCCTGGCCCAACCTAGAATTCTATACCTGGTATACTTTCCAAAAATAAAAGTGAAATAAAGACATTATCAGAAAATCATGTGAGAGTTTGCAGCCAAACCCTTTCACTAAAAGAAATTCTGTAGGGTGTTCTTTAACCAGAAAAAGAGGATCCTGAATGGAATAATTTTCCAGTGTTATGTTGAATTGAAGTGGCAAGGGGGTCATGCAGCCCTCTGCACTTTCTGGTTCTGCATCCTTGGATTCAACCAACCATGGATCAAAAATATTTGAATAAAAACTTGCATCTGTGCTGAACATGTACAAATCCTTTTTCTTGTCATTATTACCTAGACAATATAATATAGCAATGATTTACGTAGTACATACATTGTATTCGTATTATAAGTAATCTAGAGATGATTTAAAGTATACAGAAAGATGTGCACACATTATATGCAAATACTACACCATTGTATGCCAGGGACTTCAGCATCTGAGGATTTTGGTCTTGACTGGAGATCCTGGAACGAATCTCCTATGGATATTGAGGGACAACTGTACTTCCTTCCTTTTCTGCTCTTAGGGGAAGGTTGATTTCTTTTTTTTTTTTGAGATGGAGTCTTGCACTACTGCCCAGGCTGGAGTGCAATGGTGTGATCTCAGCTCACTGCAACCTCTGCTTCCCAGGTTTAAGTGATTCTCATGCCTCAGCCTCCCGAGTAGCTGGGATTACAGGTGCCCGCCAGTGGAGATGGAGTTTCACCATGTTGGTCAGACTGGTCTCAAACTTCTCTCAGGTGATTCACCCACCTCAGTCTCCCAAAGTGCTGAGATTACAGGCATAAGCCACCACAACCAGCCAGGGGAAGGATTTTGATCATTAACTATAAATTAGCTGTGGCTTTTTTGTAGATGCCTTTTTATCATATTGAAGTTCTCTTTAATTATCTTAGTTTTTCTTCATCTGAGAATATCCTTATTTCACCTTCATTCCTAAAGTGTATTTTTGCTGTATATAGAATTCTTAGTTGACAGCTCATTTCTCTCACCACTTTAAAGATGTTATTTCACTTCCTTCTGGCCCCCATGGTTTATAATGAGAAATCCAGTTATCTGAATCTCATTGTTCTTTAGTCATGTGTTGTTGAAGACTTTTTCTTTGTTTCAGTTTTTAGAATTTTGATTATAATGTGTCAGAGTATAGACTTCTTTAAGTTTATTCTATTTGGCATTCATTAAGCTTTTTGAATCTTTAGGCTTATGTCTTTTGACACATTTGGGAATTTTTCAGTCATTTATTTATTCAAATATTTTTGTATATGACTCTCTTCTCTCAATTTGGAATTCCAATGGCATGAATTTTGGACTTTTGGTATTGTCCCACAGGTCCCTGAAGTTCTGTCAACTTTTTTCCCAATGTTTTTTCTCTCTCTTGTTCTGATTGGATTATTTCTGTTGACCCATCTTTAAATTGACTGACTCTTCTGTCATTTCTATGCTGCTTGGAGCTCCTCCAGTGAGTTTTTATTTTGGTTATTATATATTTTTAAATGGCACATTAGAGAAATAAACAGAACAACCAGTGATAGGAGATAGGACTAGATAAATAAGCTCAAAACTGCCCAGACAGAGTTTTGTAGGCAACAGTAGAGCATCTAGATCTTATGCGAATTACAGAGGAAAAAAATCACTGGGGATTTTAAGGAAGGGAATAGAATGATGTGATGTACAATTTTAAGAGACTGTTTGACAATGTATTGATAGGGGAAGGAGTAGAATCAATAGACCAGTTAGGAGGTGTTGTCTTGGTCCAAGAAGGATGGTGGTGGCCCGGGCGAGGCGATCCCAGTGGAGCCAAGCACTTCCATCTGGCCCTGCACTGACCCTCCAGGCAGCCTGAACCTCAGGAGGCTCTAGATCCTCATGCTTCCGAGGAAACTGCTTCTTGATGCCTGTCACCATGGCAGCTGCACTTCTCCTACCTGGATTGGTCAATGGAGTGACATCGTAAGCACTGAATGACTGATCCTCACAATAAGAACTGGTTGCCATGGTGCTACTAATTATGCAAGCAAGAGTCTGCCTTTCTCCTGCAGGCTCAAGGTCCTTGACTAGCTCTGTACCTAAGGGAAAATCAGGGAGGGAGAGAAGATCGTGACGCTGGAGCCAAGGGGAGGCTAGCTGTCAGGTCGTTGCTGAGTCACTGTTCCTCAAGACTTGCCCAAATCAAGACCGCTACTAGAGGCTCTTATATAGTGGGGTGAGGGGAACTTATATTGTGGAGAGGGAGCCCCTGGCACATACATACACAAATTCCAATTCCCACTTTTCCTCCCGTTTTAGAGTTTCTTTGAACTGTTTCCTTCTCTAAGTAAAAGTCTGCCACAGATTGAGGCCTTCCTGCTCTCCCAGCCCCATTGCCCTGCAGAGAGGCAGTTCTAGGACAACTTGCTACTGGATTTTTAAAATTGGGTTGTCATGAAAATTCTTTAAGCAAGGTAAGACAGTGGGCCCCAGTCAGAGCCTCTGAAGTAAAATATGTAAAGCCAGAACAGAGGGGACATTTGGGGTGGGGATCGGAACAGAAAAACTCCTTGGCACGGATGGAGCCTAGGCTTCTTCTGATCCCTTCTCCTTCCAGACATCATTTGTAACATGAATGTAAGGCAGGGCAGGACCACAGCCAAATTACAATCTTCCTTTGCTCCCTCTCCCCAGCTACACTTAATGGTAGTCTGTCTTTCTTCTTGGGAAAGAAAGTTCCTTCCTGTGAACCCCTGGTTCAATAGGACTGAGAGCCTCCTCAGTCTTCTGAGGGTATTATCTCAGCATTAGAATCCCCTCCAATAAACAGTAAGAAGAAGTGCAGCATCAATGCTCCTGTACATTATTATTTTGATAGCCATTCTCCTGCTAGTTTAAAATCTTAAAATACAGAAAGGAGCATACCAACCTTTGTTCAGCCCAGCCAAAGACCAATATTTCTCCTTTTCCAGGACCATTACACTTCACAAAGCAGGTTCACATTCATTTGCTCTTAGGCCTCAAATTATTGCTGTAAATTTATTTTAAAATAATTTGTCCAGCATATAATCAGTGATAGCCAGATAAACCTCTAGCTTCTGGCATGACAAGACAGAAACTTGTGTCAGACCCTCCTACAAACATTGAATATATACTCTAGACAAAATATTAAAATAACTGTATGAAAGCATGGCGATCGATCAAGAGTTAGAAACCTAGAAGGACATATAATCCTCAAAAACAGGGAGTCCACCAAGTGAGTTCTATATGTATAGGCTTTTCCTCTAGATACTTCAGAGTTCACTGCAGTATCTGCAGAGAAACAGCTCTGTCAGCAAGTGGCTGTCTTACTTACTGAGGAAGCAGCTTTTGGAGTATAGAGATGCCAGAGCAGCTGGAAATTGAGGGAGAAATTTAGAAAATGAGTAAATTACAGAGAGAGGCATTCAAAGTCTGCATACCAATTTCCCTCAAATCCTTAGCTGTCTTCTAAATGGCACTCATGCAGGGTGAGATTTCAAGGAACCTATCTAGTGAAAAAGTCAAATATCTGAACAGGGACTTTGGCAGCTGTCACAGCATTAGGGTGACCTAGTTTGGAGTTCAGGATCCATAAAATAAAGAGTTTTGGTAAATGACTTTGGGTTATGTTGAAATCTAAAAAGGACTACACCTTGGGCCCCACCATATCCCAGAATTAAGAGATACAGCCTAGAATTGAGAATAGGATGAAGCACTCCTCCTCTAATCAGACTGCCACAGGATCAAGAATTTTGCCAAAAATTTAATTGCCTGCCTGAGCAAACTCAAACTATTACCCTTTAAATGTAATAATATAATTCAGATCCTTTGTAATGTACCAACCCCAAACGTTCAGTATACAAACCCTTAGGTTTAAGTAATCCACCATCTTGACCTCCCAAAGCCCTGGGATTACAGGCATGAGCCACCACACCTGGTTTAATAAATGTTGAAGCTTAATGAAGAAAAAATTTACATGCCAGTCTAGAAGTTAGAAAGCTCACAAACTAGTTTATAAGTACACAAAAGTGAAAGCAAGAGGTCAGTCAGCTAGTTATTACAACAGCTCAATGTAGAAGAGTACAGTGTCCAAGGCCTGGCATGGTGGCTTATGCCAGTAATCTCAACACTTTGGGAGGCCAAGGTGGGAGGATTGCTTGAAGGCAGGAGTTTGAGACCAGCCTTGGAAACATGGCAAAATTCTGTCTCTACAAATAAAATAAAAAATAATTTGGCTGAGCATGGTATTATGCACCAGCTACTCTGGAGGCTGAGATGAGAGAATAGTTTAGCATAAGGCTGAACAGAGGTTCAGCAGAGGTTGTAATGAGCCGAGATTGCAAGACTCTGTCTCGAAAACAAAAAGTACAGTGTGCAGTGGTTTGGACCAGGACGATGGCAGTGGATGTGGAGAAAAGTGGATGGATGTGCAATATACATATTTTGCAGATCGAACCTATATGATTGCTACAGGTTTTCAGGTGGGTGAGACTGAAGTGAATGTCAAGGATAACAAAATAAACTAATTCCTTGAGTGCCTACTGTTTCATCGCTGTTCATATTTAATTCTCACAACAAATCTGAGTAGGTACAACTTGCACCCGTATCTTGCACGCGCCATCCATTTCTCCAGCCTTGGGACTGGGAGTACAGGATGTGGTTCATCGAATCCTGTTTATGTCCAAAAGGAGCCGGGTCTGGGATTCCAAGAGGTGCAAGTCGGGAGGTGGCAGGGGAAGGAGTCGAGGAGGCGACCACAGGGATAGGGCCCGCTCGCGATTGGCTGAACTGCGGAGGAGGGTTAAGCAGATGCCGCCTCGCAGGCTGGTGGGAAGCTGCAGCCGCGCTCAGCCCCTCGGCCATGGTCTTCACTGAGACTTGGTCGGGGAGCGAGTGCGCAGAGCCTGGGAGGATGCAGCGCCCACTGTGGCCTGGGAGCTCCAGGGGCCTCCGGCTGCTTGTTTGCTTCCTGCTGCTGAGGGGGCTGCAGCGACATTAGTGCCCACTATCAGGAGGAACCCTGGGGGGTGCGGGCAGGGCCAAGAGAGCGATCCTGGAGAAGTGGGGGTCTGAAGAGGGCCTCAAGGCTAGGAAACTGGAAGTAAAAGAATGTGTTTACCGGCGCGAGAAGAGAAAAACGTAGCGAGCCTGTGGCGGAAAGAGACATAGACTTGGGATAAGCTGGGCAGTGGGTTCAGGGGAAAATTGAGGATTTGGAAGCACGTCGGAAAGCACGTCAGAGAGAGGTAAAACCAGCCTATGAGGCCACAGGAGGAACAAGAAAAGCTAGAAAAGAGATGACCAGGGCTGCGGGTATCGGGGTCTTGGGTCCAGGGAAAAGGCTGGGCCGGGAGACGAGCCAGGGATTTCTCGTAAGCCCACCATAGTCTGGTGGCTGTGATCCGATTTTCAATAAGGGGGAAGCTAGGCTGAGGGAAAGCAGGATAGAGGGGGAATGGGACCATCCTCCTCCCCCCACGACCCCACCCCCACCCGGACCAACCCGGGTAAACCCCGCGCAGACTCGCGGCGCATCAGTCGGAGACCGATTGCTATTGCGCCGACTCGAGAATTCCTGCGCAAAGCGCGTGGGGAAAAGAGCGCAAACTCTAGTTTGCCGCCCCCCTCCCTGCCTGATTTTTGGGTTTAGAGGCTAGTGCGGCGGATTCGGAAACAATTGTGGCAGGAGGCTCTGTGGCAATGAGAGGATGAGGGCCATGGGAAAGGACGGCCAAGCCTTGAGGCGATGCCTCGCCCACATTCCGCCCAGAGCCACGCCAGCATCCCCCACCTCTCACGACCACGGACAGCGCCAGGCGAGCTCCGGGTGCTGGCCGAGCCAGCGCTGGTCACCACTCCTTCCCACCAGTCCTGGGAGCGCTGCCTCAGAGAACCGGCTCCCCTTCCCGAAGCTCTTTCCCTTCTCGTCAGGGTGTTGGAGGCTCCACTCCTTCCTTAAGGAGGCTTTTTCTTCCCCAAATTTCTCTACTTAAAACTTCCTTGTCACGCTCACTCCCAGGAAATTGTTGTTAGACATCCATTTGATTGTGTAGGAGAATTCCCTTTTCTAAAGACCTGTCCAGAATGGCTCATGGCAGGCAACTACACTATAGCAAAAAAACGGACTGCCTTCCAGCCCTATCTCATTTATCTGGAAGAAGGAAGGTGTGCATATAGCATTAGGAGTTCTCTTCCCCAACCCCTGCCTTCCCCCTACGCACAATTGGGCAAACTGTGGCTTTCAGAAAAAGGATCCAGACCCTCGAACCCTATGCAAACCAATACTTTTTCTTTCTAATGATCCCAGTCCTCCTCTCTAATCCTTCCAGGCTTCAATGACTTCCCTAAGATGAAGCTCACCTGTTTCCCCATACCCCACCTACCCACCCGATTAGTATTCCTGTGTGGTTAGCTTTCTGAGCCTCTGCTCACCTGAACTTCTACAGGCTGCTCTTTGACTATAAGCTTGGTTCTTATCTGTAAGTTGATACCAAGAGTGAATGAGGCCCAGGGGCTGAAGAATATGGCAAGTAGTCATGGAGGAAGGGAAAAATTAAAGAAGGAAGACTTGAAGTGGGCAAAGGGGTTTGGTAGGGGGAACAGAGGTCAGGACCAATAGTACAAGGAAGTTGCTGGGATGTGGAAGGCTTCTGGCCAGGTTCCTTGCTGACACCACTATTTTGCCCTTAGACGGTCAGGACCAAGTAGGAATGGGGCAACTTTGGCCCCTCCAAGGATTTGCCATCCCAGTCTTCCAGCATTTACAAGTTGTGCTCCAGCAGATTATACCCCGAGGTAAGTAAAAGCTGGAGAACAGAGGTTGGGGCCTGGTTAGATATGGGGAGGGGGGAAAAGGGGCTATGTGGCCTGAGGACAGGCTTTCTGTTCCCCAAATGTCTCTACTTTAAAATTTCTTGTCACATTTACCCTCATGGTGATGAGACAAGAGTAGGGGTATGATCTGGATGGGTGGACTATTTGCACTTGAACACCCTGGAAAAGCCCCGTAGAGGCTTCTTGGGGAAAAAAAAAAAAAAAAACTGAAAAAACCCAGCATCTAACTCCTTGGGACTAGTCTCCATCCAACCCTGACACTATATGAGCTTTTCCAAAGCCAGGACTCCTTAAGTTCTCAGCCAGGAAAACACACATACACTTCAGCCTCTGAGTAGGAAATTGTACGACACACAGAAGGAAGGAATGAAAGGGAGTAGAGAGTCCATTGGCAACATGTAGCTGATCCTTTTTTAGAGCAGAGTTTCATGAATGTTGGGGAGGAGAGAGTCAGATAGGAAATCTTCTTTGAGCTCATATTATCACTGCTAGTGCCTAATGTGTGCATAGTGCCTTAGAGCAGTAATTCTTAAAGTGCACCCCTGAACTGTCAGCATCAACATCACCAGGGAACTTGTTAGAAATGTGAATTCATGAACTTCAACCCAGACCTACTACATCAGAAGCCCTAGGGGCGGGGAACAGCAGTTCATACTTTAACAAGCCTTGCAGGAGATTCGGATGCACATGCTAAAGTTTGATAAAATGCCTTAGCATTTTCTAAGCACTCTACATTCCTAACTTCATTTCATCCTCACAATAATTTGCTGGTTCATTTGATAATGAACCAGCAAAAAGATTGTCATCATAATCTCAATTTGAATATTATATGCCAGGCACTGTGTTAAGCAACTTTAATACATCATCTTGTTTAATTCTCTCTGTAAAATGTAATCTTATACGTACTTGAGGGAGAGGTTGCTCTGATCCCCGGAGTGGGTTCGAGTGTCCCAGGTGTCAACTCACCCCATCTTTTCATCCTGCAGGTCTTTTCTGGAAGGATGACATCACCCAGGATGTAATGACCCAAAAGATGGAGCATGTCAGCAGACTGCATCCCCAAGATCCATGCCTGAAGGATGGGAAAGCAGTTTTTCCCACTAAAACCACTGGGGTCAGGTGTGTGAAGCCTGTGGTTATTGTAAGCATCCTGGCAGACAGAAAGAACAGGGAAGGAATATGTGCTAAAACTGCAGGTAGAAGTTGCCAGGAGCACTTTGAGGAAAACAGTTCAGAGGTCTTGTTTGGAATCAGTGCAGAACAATTCATGATCCATTAGTGATATGGGCAAAGGGAGGGGAGGTGGGTGTGGCAAGCCTAGGTCCTATTTGTCATTCCCTGTCTCTTCTAGGAGCAAGCAAGGGGAGAGACTTCAACTCCTATTCCCCATGGTGAGACTCATATATCTTCTCAAGAACTGTGAATCCCTGACTTTGTATCCAATTGCTTTCCCTCTGGGGCTCTCTCACCCTATTCTGCCTCCTTCTTCACTCCTGGTTTCTCACAGAGCCTCTTGGCCAAGTTGAACAGGGATCGGTGCTTTACCTCCAAAGTGATTTCCAAGGCCCTGAAACAAGAGGTGTCCAACCCTGTGGAGGTGAGGGGCTCACTTTTTCTAGGGAGATTGGCCCTGTTTAAATGAGGGAGGCAAATAGGAAGAAGGGAATGGGCATTGGGGTGAGGGCAGACAAGCTGAAGAAAAGATTTTTCCATTCCCAATCAAAGGTATCCCCACTTTTCCGTATCTCTCAGACTACCTCTACCTATAGGCATTCCTATGGGGGCTGGACATGATGCAGGCACTGAGAGTCTCTAAGGAAGAAATTATCTATAAGATCATGCTTAGGTATTGAGTTTAAAATAGGCATTGAAACTGCAGAGTTTTCAAAATTAGATAAAAGGTCCTCCTTTTTGCCATATATGCCCTCATATATAGCAAGTGATAGCAACACTCCCTCGATGAATGGGAAGTACAGCTCAGAGGCTGTCACATTCAGCCTCCCTCTTGCTCTACTCTGTGGCCTGGGCAAGTCACCCAGTCAAGGCTCTGAGACATCTGTGGGGATCGCCCCTGCGAGAGGCTAACAACTTGGCATCTGCTGTTAGGTGAGCTTGATTCCTTACACACTTTTCCCTGGAGGCTGTCAAGCTATGGGGAAGAAAAATTGGGAGAAGAATGACTAAACAGAACACTATTTTCAGCCTTCTTGGTTGATGAAATAACGGCTGGGTGAATGCTGAAGTGATTCAACTGGGTATTGTGTTCCCCTTTCTGGCTTCTAATCTTAACCAGTTCTATGACTTTGTTTACCAGGCATTGTTTCAGCCTGGTGACCTCCCCTGCAGCCCTTGCCTTTTGCAGATGCATGATTTACTGCTGAGCTTGTGATTTCTGGATAATTGAAGATTGTTGTCCGAGTTACTGGTTGTTCTGATAATATTGATAATCAGCATCACCTACTTCCCCCTTGACCTTTTAAATCAGTATCTGTTCCTTTTACTAGTTCCCCAGAATTGTTTTCTGTTTCTTTTGTTATTTAAGAAATGCTTTGATCTGACTTAAACAACATTAAGTAGAAAAGTATATAATGGAACCTACTGCACAAATAAAATTGCTGTTTGGGCACAGCCTAATCAGTCCTCCAGACCCCTCTCTGTCTCCTTTTTTTCTGTGCATGCCCTCTTCCAGGTTTGGGACCCTCTCGCTGGACGAGATTCCCGGGCTCATGTTCAGTTCACAACAGACATCTCCTTGGGGTCTTTGAACTCTTTCAGAATTCTGAAAACAGCACATCTAGTACTCCCATCCTTCTTTATAGATGAGAAATTGGGGCCCAGGCCATGGGACATACTCAAGGCCACACCATGGGTTTGTGACAGAGCCAAGACTGGACCCAGGTCTCCTGATTTCCAGCTCTTTCCCCTGCACAGCCCCTGCCCTTCCTCTCAAGGACTGCAGTACGATTGGACCATTCCAAACATCAGACTCCTCAACATTGAAAAAAGACTTTATTTGGTTGGGCGCAGTGTCCCACACTTATAATCCCAGCACTTTGGGAGGCCGAGGCAGGCAGATCACGAGGTCAGGAATTTGAGACCAGCCCGTCCACTATGGTGAAACCCTGTTTCTACTAAAAAATACAAAAATCAGCTGGGCATGGTGACGCATGTCTGTAGTCCCAGCTACTTGGGAGGCTGAGGAAGAAGAATCAATTGATTGAACCCATGAGGTGGAGGTTGCAGTGAGCTGAGATCACACCACTACACTCCAGAATGAGACTTTGTCTCAAAAAATAAAAGGAAAAAGAAAAAAGATTTTTTTTCCCCTTTGGACTAAGACCTAAATTATAAGAAGGTGGCAAGCAAAGGCAGATGTAAAGGAAGGGCATCCTAGGCGGAGAGCATTGCCACTACAGATGTCCTGAGACACCCATACCATGGCATGTTAAGGAATGGACAGACAAGGCAGTGACAGAAGATGAGGGTGAAGTAGGCCCAGGACTGACCACACGGGGCTCACAGTTCATAGCAAAGGGTTTGGATTTTATTCTAAGCGCAGTGGGAATTTAACTGGGAAATTTTAAGGAAAGGAATGTCACAATGTGATATGATTTTAAAAGGCCACCCTGGTGATGTTGGGGAATGAACTATAAGGGGAACAAGAATAAAAACTGAGAGGTCTGTAAGGAGAAGCTCATCCTTGTCCAGGGAGACCAAGGTGGCTTGGATTTGGGTGGTGACAGTGAAGCAGGGCATCCCCGGCTGGCCACACCCTCCATCTAAAGGCAGCCCGCACCACAGCGGGTTCCAGCTCCTCATGCTCTCCAAGTAAACAGATTCCTACTTCCACAATGTGGCTGCTGGGCTTCCTAAGCCTGGATTGGTTGCTGGGGCAATGTAATCAGAGCTCAGTGACAGATCGACCTGTGGGGGACTGGTTGCCCTGGTGCTCCCAGGAATAATGCAAACAAGGAGCTGCCATTCTTCTCCAGACCTGAGGACAAACCATGGAGAGACAGGGCTACATGTGAGAGCCAAGGAGCCAGGCTCTCAGTCGGTGAGTTGTCACTGTGCTGAAGGCTTACTTGGATCCGGCTGTTACTTCGGTATTTGTGGAAGGAAGGCAGATGAGGGAGGAGCCACTGTCTCACATCCTGACTTGTTTCTTCTTGTTTTAGGGCTTCTTGAGGCCATTTCCCGCTGCAGGCCGCAACCTTATGGCTGATTGAAACCTCATGTGGAGCCTCCCAGCCCCAGCACCCTTCCCATTGCCCCTCAGAGGGGCAGTTCTTGGATGACTCGGATCTCAATCATTAAAGTAGACTCTCATGCAAACACTGCCTGAGAGCTTGTCTTGAGGAAGATGAGTGGGGTTTGAACTTGGCCAGAGCCTCCAAAGGGAGAGAGGTGGGGCCAAAACATGGGGTGGGGATGAGGGGAGCACAACTCTTGGCTGACGGAAGGCTGGCTTCTGTCTTGTTTTCCTTCCACTGATAATCCCTGGAGTGGGGAAAGTGAGAGTGAGACCACAGCTGGAATGGCAGCCTCCTCAGCCACATCCCAGCCGCACTGTGCCATCTGGCTGCCCCTCCTTTCATGTTATGAGGAAGGGGACTCCATATTCATTTCTTTTACCCTCATGCCAGACAGGCCTGGCCCATGCTGTTTTTTGAGGGTTCCCACCTCCATTATAGCCCCTGCCAGGCTCTCCCACCCATCCTGTCCACAAGGACCAACAGAGCAGTGCTGAGGTCAGAGAGTACACGCATTGGACATTCTGATGGTTCTTGCCAGTTTGCTCCAGGTGGCTTAAAATCTTAAAAGGGAGTTGGTAATCTCACCACCCATGCTCAGCCAACAACCAAACACTAGAATGTTCTATTTGCAGGGCTTTATATGTATTGAAGCACTTTCACACACATTGGAGGCTCACAAGTGTAAGCAAATGGGCAGGTATCAAGACTGGGTTTCTTGGCTGGGTGCAGAGGCTCACGCCTATAATCCCAGCACTTTGGGAGGCTGAGGCAGGCAGATTATTTGAGGTCAGAAGTTCGAGACCAGGTTGGCCAACATGGTGAGACTCCATCTCTACTAAAAATACAAAAATCGGGCTGGGCATGGTGGCTCATGCCTGTAATCCCAGCACTTTGGGAGGCAGGCAGGTTACCTGAGGTCAGGAGTTTGAGACCAGCTTGGCCAATGTGGTGAAATGTCCTCTCTACTAAAACTACAAAAATCAGCTGGGAGTGGTGGTGCACGCCTGTGATCCCAGTTACTCAGGAGGCTGAGGCAGGACAATCGCTTGAACCCAGGAGGTGAAGGTTGCAGTGAGCTGAGATCATGCCACTGCACTCCAGCCTGGGCAACAGAGCAAGATTCCCTATCAATCAATGAATCAATCAATCAATATAAAAATACAAAAATTAGCTGGGCATGGTGGCCGGCGCCTGTAATCCCAGCATCCCAGCTACTCAGGAGGCTGAGGTAGGAGAATTGCTTAAACCTGAATGTGGAGTTGGAGTGAGCCAAGATCACACTACCACACTCCAGCCTGGGCAACAGAGTAAGACTCCATCTCAAAAAATAAAAATAAAAAAATAAAAGACTGGGTTTCTCTAAGGAACTGGAACTTGGCCACACCACATCTTCCCCATTTAAACAACTCAGATAAATTACATGACTAGTTTTATGATCCAAATTCTCAGTCATGCTACTGTGGTTGTCCTTTCCCTTCTTGTGCATTCAAGCATGTAGCTAAAGCCAACATTAGACCAGTTATGCTAATTTGTACCTAGTTCTCATCAAATCAATTAACCCCTGCCACTCTTCCATCTTTCCTTCGTATACCTTTCTTTCTTATTTATTTTCAGACATGTATGTAATCATGTGCTTCACTCTGCCTGGACTTTATGAGTATATTTGGTTCCTGCCCTCAAAGACCTTTAAGAGTAGCCAGGGCTGGGTGCGGTGGCTCATGCCTGTAGTCCCAGCACTTCGGGAGGCTGAAGCAGGCAGATCACTAGAGCCCAAGAGTTTGAGACCAGCCTGGGCAACATGGTAAAACCCCATCTCTACAAAAGTGCAAAAATTAGCTGGGCATGTGTAGCGGTGAGATCCCATAAGTGCCTAGGCAGGAGTCAGCAGCCTCAGCCTATTCCCGTGTAAATAATTGAGAAAATAACTAGAGATATAACCATAGTAGTTATTCATAGATGATCCTAATTCTTTTACTAATGCTTCTCTGGCTAGAAGTGTGAGCCTGGGGTGACATTGTGAAATGATTGGCCCTAAGGCAAGATGCTCTAAGCTATCTGTCATGCCCCCATAAGGGCTGCTCAGCAGCACCAGCACTGGAAAAGTGCCCGCTCTTTAGCCAGCTAGGGAAGGAGACGTCCAAAATAGCTGAGAGGTCTCCTTCCTCAGAGGAGTTAGGAGAAAACTCCGCTTCTCCAAGCTCTTGCGGTGGGTCTGACACTGTCAGGTAGGCCCGCAGACATCCAGGGGCTTAATTGTCTCTATGTGATGCTGTGCTTCAGTGGTCACGTTCCATGTCCACTCTCATGATCCACTTCTGCACCTGGTTCCTTTTTTCTTGTAAGAATTAATCAATGAAAGTAACATAAATATTAATGTCTTTGTGACAAGTATGGAAAAAGTGCTGATGCATTATGCCCCTTACCACATCTCGGCTGCTGGAAATTCCTGAGCCCCTACCTGTATGACACATGATGTACTTGACCCTATCACTGCCACACCCTATTTGACTTTGCCCCCAGTCACCGACCACCAAGGCCACGCTTTACCTAGGCCCTACCTTCCCTGTCCCCAGCTTTTGCACTCAGTAAAAGTCAGAGTGTCCAGGCACTCGGGGCCACCACAGGACACCCGCACTTAGGTTGGCAGTGGGCCCCCGGGCCCAAACTCTCTTTTCTCTATCTCTGTGTCTTGTGTCTTTTATTTCTACAATTTCTCATTTCCACACTAGCAGAGGGGGGCTCACAGAACCCTATAGGGATTACAGGTGTGGTGGTGTGTGCACCTGTAGTTCCAGCTATCTGGGAGCCTGGAGTGGGAGGATCACTTGAGCCCAGGAGGTCAAGGCTGCAGTGAGCCATGATTGTGCCACTCCACTCCAGCCTGGGTGACAGAGTGAGACTGTTTCAAAAAAAAAAAAGTCAAGAATATAAGCCACATATAATGTAGTATCATTCAGGTATCTACAGGGAGTGAACGCAGTGGACGCCCCACCCCGTATCTCATGGCCTGTATCTCCGTTGGCCTGCAGCTGCAGGTGCACAGTTCTTGAACATGTCAACCTTCCCACCTCATGCCCAGGGACTCTGCTTCTCATCGGGCAGGCTTTCTGGAATGCTAAGGGACTGCCCACCTGTGCTCCAGGCAGCCCTCAAGCACCTGGGATGTAATGCCCCTAAAGGCAACTATCAACAAGTTAAGAACCAAATTTAGTGCAAAAATATCCCAGATTCCACCAGCCCTTAGTGGGCAATTCTGAGGAATGTTCCATATGATTCTTCAGAGGATCCCAGGTGAGATTCAACCTAGTCACCCACAGTGGTAACTTGTTCAGCAACACACTGAATATTATTGGCTTTTCTTCCTTCTTTGACTTATTTTCCCTGTCCCTCATCTGTGATTTTTGGAATCATCTCCCACAGGAGCTACCTGCACCCAAATTCTTACTTATTTATTTATGAAACCCAGAACTCACTCTGCCACCCAGGCTGGAGTGCAGTAATGCAATCACAGCTCACAGCAGCCTCAGTCTCTCGGGATTCTTCCACCTCATTTGACCCTGAGAGATGAGGCTGCTGTGAAGAATTGGAAGAATCTAATTCTTCCACCTCACTTGAGCCCCATTAGCTGGTAATGCAGATGCTCACCACCACTCCTGGCTGATTATTTTGTTTTTTTAGTAGAGACAAGGTCTCACTATGTTCCCCAGGCTGATCCCAAACTCCTGAGCTCAAGTGATTCTCCTGTCTTGGCCTCCCAAAGTGCTGGGGTTACCAGCGTGAGCCACCATGCCCAGCCCAAGTTCTTGTCTTAGTCTGCTCTTGGGTTCACCCGGCCTAAGCCTGCTATGTGCCAGACACTTTTCTAGGCCCTGGGGATACAGTTGTGAACGAGCCAGAGTATCCACCGCCATGGATTTGGTTATAAATCATTGACTAACTGCCTGGGTAGAGGGAAGAATCTAAGCTATGTTTCTGGCCCACAGAACATTCAAGTTCTTTTCTCACCAAGCTCTTCAATGCTGTGGTGTTTCCCCCATTCTGCCATCCTACGTGCGCCAGCAATTCAGCCCTATTTGCATTTCCCCAAATATGTCCAGCTGGTTTATGCTCCTGGGCCCTTGTATCAGCAGTTCCCTCTGCATATAAGTGCCCCAACCCCAGCACCTCATCAGTCGTGGCCCATTGATTAAAAATCTAAATTCTCCTCTGTGGTGCATTCCCTGACCCTCCTACCATCTCCCGCATGCCCAGAGCAAAGTTGCAGAGCTTGGAAAGATAAAACCTATGGAGGATAATGCTTGGACATGGTGAATGGGTAGGAAAGATGGGAGTTTTTAGAAAGGAAGGCAGGTTCAGTTCCTATCGCAGAGGACCACGTTTTCTAATTTGGGTGGTATCTGATAGGCAATGAGGAGACACTAAATGCTTTTGCGTGAAAGAACAGGATGAAAGTTGTGTTTAAGCATAGCCTCACGTTTCCATTTAAGGGTGGATTAGAGAGCAGGAGAGAATGGAAACATTTTTGAAAGACTATTGCAATGGTGGGGGTGTTTCACACAGGACCTGAATGGGAGGGAAAGAGGACATATATAAGATATATTTTGAAGGATGAGTTAATAAGCCTTGGGAATTGTTATGGGTTGAATTCTGTTCTCCCAAAAAACATTCATATGTTGAAGTCCTAATCCCCAGTACCTCTGAATGGGACGTTATTTGGAAACACGGCTGTTGCAGATGTAGTTAGTTAAGATGAGGTCATTAGGATGGCCTCTAATTCATTGTGATTGGTATCCTTATAAAAAGGGGAAATCGGGCACAGTGGTGAGTGCCTGTAGTCCCAGCTACTCAGAAGGCTGAGCGGAAATAATCGCTTGAGCACAGGAGTTTGAGGCCATCCTGGGTAACACAATGGGACCTGATCTCGCAAAAGGCAGGGACAGGATTTGAAGACAGCACAGCTGGAGCAGAGATGATATGAAAAGATAAAAGGAGATGGAAGCCATCTAGGCAAGCAGAGAGGTCTGAAACAGATTCTCCCTCAGAGCTCTCAGAGGGAATCAACCCTGCCAACAGCTTGGT